ACTCTTTAAAGTAGAGACACTACATACTGATATACACCTGAACATCAGCAGGAGAGGACTCTTTAAAGTAGAGACACTACATACTGATATACACCTGAACATCAGCAGGAGAGGACTCTTTAAAGTAGAGATGCTAAAGGCCCCTTTAAACAAAAATAAACTCTTTGTTTTTACGACAGAGCTTCAGTTTTTGATCAGGAACATCCATCAAAAATATTTCAAAACAGCTATGATCGATGTTTCCTTTCCTTTTCGGCGTTCTTTCTCCCACATGTTGACACTATGATGGACAATGCTCATGGAAATAAATCTGGAAAATGTTTCTGTTTTTGAACAGCAGGACATGTTTTTGATTTCTTTTTCACGTCTGTCTGTTTCACACAAACATGTTGATGTATAGTAGATGCTAAAACCACACATTCTGCAAATCTATAAATAATGTTTAATCTATAACATCATCACAGACCCTCTGACCCTCAGTGTCACACACACACACACACACACACACACACACACACACACACACACACACACACACACACACACACACACACACACACACACACACACACACACACACACACACAGGTTTAACAGCTCAGCAGACCCCCCTCACATCCACACCGTGACTCATCAGCAGTCTGGAAACACACTCTCTATAAATAGACATTACACACTGACATGCGAGGCGTAAATTCCCCAAAAAGGTTTTTCAGTCAGACCACAAAAATGTGTGTTATTGAGGAACGGAATATTTGGGAACATATTTCTGTTGAATGGAAACAGGTATGTGGTTTTAGATTATGTTCATCATGGATGAATGTGCTAATGATCTTCTAGATTAATGGTCTGGTCTGTTTGAATCAGAAAACGGTAAACGTCATTCTAGTTTCCCAAAGTGAGATTAAATAAATGAAATGTTGAATATGTTGTACTGTGAAAGGAAGTTGTATATGTAGTTTAGTAGTCCACTTGCATTATTGCACATTTTGAGAGAAATGTGGCTTTAATTAGACGGTAAATCAAAGCCATCGCTAACAAAGTGAAGACATGACAAGTGGTTAATATTTCATGGAAAGCTCCAAGATTAAAGTCACAAGTTTACAAGAGAAACATTTCTAATATCAGATGTTTTTCTGGGGAAATAACCCTCTTTCTCTCACTTTGTAATACATAATTGTATCTGAAACTCGCTGTAGTTTCCTCTGCTCTCCTGTGGTGGCGCTGTCTCCCCTTTGAGCAGCATCGGTGCCAGAAACTGACATAAAGAGACTTTTTATCCACATGCTTACCGTACCTTCTTTACATCCTGGTGCTTTTTACTCTTTATTTGAACTGTTGAAGGATGTCAATGATGGGACGTCGGGGTCTGAAGCTAGAGAAGCTAAGCTAACGTTAGCGGCCGGCAGCCGAACAGAAACTCAGATTTTTTACCTCAAACTTTATTCACTATGGTTTTAATCAGCAGCTGCATTTTTGGGGGTGAAAAGGAGAAATGTGGGTATAATTAATTTCAGCTCCATGATCTGAAGATATAGAGGAACAAGCTAAGCTAACGTTAGCGGCAACAGATCTAGACTTTGTTAGCAATCTGCAGGAAAAGAAGCACTCATGTTTTTACTTGTTTTAATTATGTTGGTGTGTTTATTTGGTGATAGAGAGACCTCTGTGTAACTGCTGCTGGTCAAAACCCCCTGAATGTCTGGATGTGAAGCTATCAGAGAAACTGAGCTAACGTTAGCATCAGCCGAACAGAAACTCAGATTTTAATCTCAAACTGAAACTTTATTAACTGTTTTTCTGCTTTATATCTTGTTTTTTGCACCTTCGATCCCAAAACACTCACTTTGAATCACACAAGCATAATCTTATATTTGAGAGGATGGAAACAGCATTTAAATAAAATGACTTTTACTTTCGATGATCAAAACCTCTGTTGGTGGACTTTTGTTTGTCCCAAGGTCCAGCTCTGTACCTGTTACACAAGGCGTGATGGATAGCAGTCTCCAGGGCGGATAGAGTTCCTGCTGCGGGCCGTAAAGGAACACAGAAATGTGGATTTCATTTCCAGACAGGGCGTTGTTTAAAACGATTGCTTTCCTTTCGTCTGTGTCACCTGAGACTTGAGAGACGATGCACGTGATTCATTCCTTAAATCAGTCTTTCATTATTTCATTTTGATTTGTTCCGTTCATGGTGTGCAAAACTTAATGTTTAACAACTAGTTACAAAACACGTCTCTATAAACACACCGTACCCGAAAAGGAGCATCTGATATCACCTGCCCCTTTGTCTGTCCTGTTCTTATTCACAGCCAATCATAACAGTATCGTAGGAAAATACAACACAGTCTCACGGCATTTCGTGTTCAACAACATGATTTCCCCATTTTTTTCGTGTTGCACAGAACGATTTTAAAAGCAATGTAAATGATAACAAATTAGAAGGAAAGAAATATATTTAAAAAAATACAGATGTCAGTACTCTGACACAGAACGATTTTAAAGCAATCTATTTCTATTGGTAACTACATGTTTCGTGCCTGCACCGAATCATAACAAATTAGAAGGAAAAACATATGACAAAAAATACAGATGTCAGTACTCTGAGGCTCTGAGACATCTCTTTTCCTCGCGGACGGCAAAAAAACTCTGACATTATACAATTTAAAATGAAAGGGATAGGGTTAGGCTCAGGGTGAGATGAACCACACAGCTTCTGGTGTTCCACGACCCGACCGGACAAAAAGACGTGGTGCACACGAAACATGCTACCAATAGAAATACATTGCTTTTAAATTCTTTCTGTGTGACACGAAAAAAATGCGAAAATGGTGTTGGTGAACACGAATCAATAGATTAAATTAATTTCGTAACTATAACACGAAATGCCGTGAGACTGGGCTGGAAAGACACACTAAAGGTCTCCAAAAAGAGACTTTAAAGTACTTTTGTTGCCTAAATAGTTAACCAGATGCTTCAATGCTACAAACCTATTTTCGGTGCAGAAACATCCCATAATAACATGTTTCTTCACAGCTTTTCAGAGCGAACACTGGAGAGAGAGCTGTTCCTGTTAGAGTCTCTCCTCTCTGCAGCTGAACTCACAGACCTGTGTTATGAAAGTGAGTTATGTCCCGT